AATCATATCTAGAGGCAAGGCCGTCTTCTCCCCTCATTCCTGCCCTGGGCCCAGTGTCCCTGACCAGAGGAGGCACTCATGTGAGTTTATTTATGCAGCTATTCACATTCCCCGTGGTGCCGACTTGCACCGCGTCTTGTGCTGAGTGCTGGGTTGCAGCTGAGGGCAGCAAGGATAGGGTCTGGGTCCTGGCGGGGGGGTGGGGGGGGCGCGGTTCCCAGGCCACTGGGAGACAGAGGAGTCCACTCACCCATTAATGTCCTTTTTACCCCCACAGGTATAGCCTGGAACATTGGGAAACTGACTCTGATTCAGGGCAGTGGGGTGGGAGAGCAGGGTTTGAGGTGAGTGAGGTATGCCAAGGTTTGACAAAGTGGTGATCTTCGGGGGTGATTTTTTTGAAAAGATGAGGTTCAATGTTTTATTATTAAACTTTCCTGTTTTCCTGCAAGGCTGCCGCTTCACTGTATAAAACCAGCACCAGCAAACTCAGTCTACTGCAGAATTAATGATGGTATTGTTTGTCGTCTGACTGTAACAGCTAACAAAAACTTTTCACCATGGCCAGCTATTTCCAATGAAAAGATCATTAAGTATTTTGACCCAAATTCAGAGACAGATGTAAGCAGGTTACAATATTATATAAGGCTTCAGGTAACCATGTTACCCTTGAACTACATAACTTTTATAACTAGATTTTACCACAGATCACTTCAAGAATTCTGAATATTATAACTGTAGCCTAGCCTCAAAAGCATAGAGTAGTGTGTTTGATGCATATTGTTTATCTTCAATCATTAGAAAGGGTTATTCTCTTTCAGTAGCATTTTTGTAGTTTCTTTTTCCATTGGTGTTACTAAACGTTGCTATTTCACATCTTCTATCCACCACTAATTTAAGACAACTGTGATAGATCAAGTTGCTTCATGCTACTTTATTTAAGGGGGAGGGGTGTCCATGTCCACTCCTCAGTAGAGTTTATGTATTTCTCATATGCCTCTCAGTAGTTCATCTAGTTTTGAAGGGTTACTCGGTGTCATCTGGCTCGGCCAGCCCTCTTCACAACAAGATTTGTTGACAGGTCCTGGATTTTCTGCAAGTGCTTCATTAACATCGGTTACCTCTCCTGATAGAGAATAGTGTTCACTAGCAGTTTCCACGCTTTCCAAAGCACCAAACTCATCTTATTGGTTCAATTTTGCCCCGATTTCAGGCAGACTACAGTAAACATCTCCCCAAGCTTCCTGTGCAAAGTCGCTAATTGGCCCACTGTGCCAACAGCGTGTTCGGTTGTTCCCCATTCGTGTTTCTCCCTGAACTTACGCAGCCCAGCGCAGATCGAGGGCGGTGCACAGCGTCAGGGTGGCTCGGGCTCCTGTTCGCAGGACTGTGGGCGGGGGTGGGGGTTCGTGGCACAACTCCTTGGCCACCCAACCGGCCTGGGGGAGAGCGATGTTGACCAGGTCGAGGAGAAAGTGTGTCTGGGGAAAGGGCCCAGGGTGCTCCGGGACACAGCAGGTCCGAGGACAGAGCGTGTCCAGCGAGCAGTGAAGGGCACAGGGGTGATGAGATGCAGGGGAAAGGTCCAGGTAAGGTGGGGGGGATGGGGAGAAGGGCCTCTAATGCCAGGCTGAGGCGTTCAGACCTCTCCGGTTTTGTTTGGGAGAGAGGACATGGCGCTGCAGGTGGGTGGGCTGCAGGAGAGCCCTGGAGGCGGCTAGCAGTGCACAGTGTGTACCCGGTGACCACCCCGCGGCGAGGGTTGTGCCAGAGAAAGGGGAAGTTCAGGAAACCGAACTCAACCAGTGGCCCTGGGGAAGGCATCCTTGAGTAGATGAAACCGGTACTGAAGGGCGAGTAGGAATGACCCAGACGACGGGGGAGGGGGAGGGGGAGATGGCATTCCAGGCAGAGGGAACATTGTGGGCAAAGCCCAGAGGTGAGAGAGCATGGCTGACGCATGGAGGGACAAGTGGCTCAGTGTGATGAGAGGGAGCCTAAGCTGAGGGAGGGAAGAGATGAGGACAGGACTGGGCTGGATGGTGGAGCGTGGCTAAGGGCAGACTGAGGAGCTGGGGCTTTGAGGGGGACATCGTCTGTCTTCTGTTGATCCCTCCAGATCCACTCTCCACTGGTGCCCATCCTGCTCCTTCCTGGGAGACCTGCCTGCGTGGACTGCAGCCATTGGCCCTCTAGCTTCCAACTGGGTGCAGGCAATAGGGAGCCTCGACAGGAGGTGGAGGGAGAAGAGTGGGGTGGAAAGCTTGCCTGGCTCCTGCCCTGCAGTAGCGGCCCCTAGCCCGTGACTCTCCTCACTCAGGCACCTGCTGCCTCCCCTGGTCCTTGCAGGCCTCAGGGTGGTAGCACCCAGCCGCGCTCCGTGCACCACCCTGTGTGCTTCCCCACACGCTGGACACACCTCAGAAGAGTGTTCTTTCATCCAGCCCTCCTCAGATTATCCTTATTTCAGTGTACCATCTGGTCCCTGCTGGGATCCAGGCTGATACAAACTCTGGGAGCGATGGAGAGCCCTAGAAGGACGCAGATGTCGTGTTAGATAGCTCACTGGCTGTGCGTGAGGGCGGGTTCGGGACAGCGAGACGGGGAGGCAGCAATGTGGAGACTGAGCTGGGCCCTCCGGATACACACCAGCTTTTGTCGGGGTCACACGGAATTCCTGGGCCTGTGGGAAGGGCGGTTCTGATGCAGGTTTTCACTGATAACTTTTGGGTCGATCGTTTGCAAATATGGTCACAAGAATCTCCCCGTGTGTCCCCAGCCTTTTGCGTTGTGACATTGCTGCTCCTCCCATGAAGAGGTAGAGTCTATTCCTCTCCCCTTAAATCTGGGTGGCCTTGTGACTTGTTCCGACCTACAGAGTGTACTAGATGTGATGCCGTGCCAGTGTGCAGCCTAGGACTTAAGAGGCGTCGATCTTGCTCCCGATCTTTTGAAACCCAGCTACCACTGAATGCTACAAGATGGGTCAGTAAAGAGAGAGACCCAGTGCCTACCTGCACAGAGGCCCAGCAGGCTAGCCCCCCAGCTGTCCTGGCCCCAGCCGACCCACCACCGAATGCAGCTGCGTGAGAGCCCAGGCAAGGCCAAGAAGAGCCACAGCCAAGCCATAGAACTGTGAGTCCTCCGCATGCAGCCATTACATTTTGGAGCGGCTCTTCACACAGCAACAGATCACTGCAAGGGGCGGGTACTTCTCTCCTTTGCAAGTCTTGTCCTCCCCCGCTGCCGCCACTTCCTCCAAGTCGTCCTCTGGCTGGAGATCATCACTCCCTGCTCTTGACTCCTGCGTCTCGTGTGCCCTGTGCAGTGCACTGCCTCGCGGGACAGCAGGCACCTCCGAGAGACACGGGACTCATCACCTGACTCCTGATCCACACTCCTCTGCGTCACTCCAGCCAGGACCTGGAGTGGCTTATGATCTTAAAATAGTATCTTATGCTCACAACACCAGGGGAGGATATTATGTTCATCATTTTTCAGATGACAAAATTGAGGTTTAGAGGTGATGGGATTAGCTCAGAGTTACTAAAAAGGCACAGGCCGGGATTCGAACCCAAATGTACACTTCTCCAAACGCCCCATGTTGTAGTTGTTGCTAGGATCTGCTTCTGGAGGGAAAGACCCTGTTTCCCTGGAGGGTGAGGGGGCTTCCGAAGCCACGCTGTCCCTTCGCGCCTGTCGGAAAGGCAGGGATCCAGAATTCTTCCCCCGGGACATCTGTCCCCATCTCACCCCCCCTGCAGACAGGCTAACATCCACTCCTCATGTCTGGTCTTCAGTCTCTGTCCCTGTCTGCCCTGTGTCTTAAACATTCCTTTCTCCCTCTGTCCCAACAGAGCAGGGCCGGAGAGCGTAAGCTTGGAGTGGACAGGTCAGAAAGGAAGAGTCAATAGGACATTCTCGGCCCAATCTGAGCACGGAGATTCACCTTCTGGGAAGATGAGACAGGCCACAGGGTCAGGCTGGGGATCAAAGCCCTCTTCGCTGGGGGGTGTGGAGGAAGAGAGGAAGGCTAAAACAGAATCCTTTTATTGACTGAATACAGTTTATGGAGCCCCAGTTTTTGTACTAACGTAAGGGGCTGAAGCTACACAGGACAAGGAAGAGGTACCTCATGGCGCTCTCAGCCTATGTGATGTCAGAGCTGAGACTTGGAGGTCATCTTAGTCAGGGAAACTGAGGCTCACAGGAGGGTGAAAAGGCCTGCCCACTGTCATGCAGCCAGTGGCAGAGTGCAGGTCTTGCCCAGCGTGGGGACGGAGGAGCTGGGACATCCAGGGTGCAGGATGAGGGACCGGGTAGAAGGGGCTGGAGCTGGTGGCTCTTCTGCTGCCGCTCAGGATAGAGGAAGAAAAACCCGGCACAGTCGTCCCTCACCACTTTGCGCTTCGCCTCTCGCGGCTTCGCTCTACCGCAGTTTCTTCAAATACATTCATTAAAAAGTTGATCAGGACAGTGAAAATGACACAGCACACGCTCGGTTGTCTGAGTCAATTACACACCCCTGTATTACAATTACAATTACAATTACAATTAAAATGACTGTACGCATGGACTGTAGGCCTGTGTACTCGAGCACCCCAGGAATCCTTCAACGCCAGGTGCAACCACTTGAGTCTGGAACGGATTAACCGCGACAAACGAGGGACGACTAACGGGTCCGTTGAGTGACATTACAACAGAAGACACAGACCTCAGAAATCCTTCCCTCCAGCCCTCTCTCCCATTTAACAGATGAGCAAACCAAGGAGATGGGGCTGGCAAGGTTTCTCAGCAGGAGAGCAGATCACCAGTGCCGGTGTGGTCACCCTCCCACGTTGCCCGCTGTTACTTGGGATTGGATTTGCAGAAGTCTTGGAAGACTCTGGAGATGTGTTCAACAGATGCTTCCAGGAAGCCTTCTCCGATCACAGTGCCTCTCACGGGGTTCCCTGATGCCAGCCCTGCACTTTGGGGCAGCCCCTCCTCTGGGGAGGCGCTCAGCAGAGCTCCAAGTGTTGGTCTGCCGGGATGTTGTACTTTAGCTTGTGGGTTTCAAAAAGGTTGCACAGCTCGTCGATGTAGTGCTGGTGCAGCTTGTCCACCTCTTCCTGCGACGGCTGCAGTACCTGCTGCACCTCGATGGGCTTTCCCACTGCAAGACACAGAGGGGGCGGAGGCTCGAGCTGGGCCCTTGGGGTAGGTGCCCACTCCAGTGGTCATCCTGCAGAAACTGCTCTTCCTGCCATCCCTTTCTACCCCATTTTGAGTGATGGATTCTAAGACATTAGAGCAACTCCAAGATTCAGATATAATAACACCACCACCAACTAGCCTTGCAAAGTGCCTAGAAATGTGCTCGGTGCTTTGCACTCTTCATCCCCTTCAATTCTCATAACAATCACCCGGGGATTATTCCCATTGGCACAAGAGGCAATGAGGCTTAGAGAGGCTAAGAGACTTGCCAGGAGGAGCCAGTGCGAGGTTTTAACCCTGGGGCCATGTGGTTCTGAGAGTGTAAGATGCCATGCTTAGAAGGGCCTGAATTTCTAGGATGAGGTGGGCCAGCAGCCCAGTCAGCTCCTCCTCCGCCCTCTCCCTCCATGCGGCCTGCACTGCCCCCTTCGCTCCAGGGAGGGGTCGGGAAGGCCCAGCTAAGCTCCTTCCTCTGGTTCTGCCTGGCTGAGAAGGCAGCTCCCCTGCCTTCTCTTCTTAGTAATAGCTTCGGAGGCAGCAGTATTAACATTCATGAAAATATTGCCACACAGCACAGGAAAAGTCATGGTATAGGAGGTTCACTGAGTCTATGCTCAACTAACAAATAAATGGGTGGACGGAGCCCCGGCCAGTGTGGCTCAGTTGGTAGAGTGTCATTCCATCCACTGAAAGGTCACTACTTTGACTCCGGGTCAGGGCACTTGCCCAGGTTGCAGGCTTGATCCCCAGTAGGGGGTGTGCACGAGGCAGCCGACTGATGTTTCTCTCTCTCTCTCTCTCTCTCTCTTTCTACCTCTCCCTCCCTCTCTCTCAATAAAAACATATTTTTTTAAAATTTTGTTTTTGTTGTAGATGTTGCTCCTTTTCCCCCAAAAAACATATTTTTTAAAATGGGTGGGTGGCCCTGGCCGGTTTGGCTCAGCGGTTAGAGCGTCGACCTGCGGTCCTGAGAGACCCGGGTTCGGTTCCCGCTAAGGGCATGTACCTCGTTGCAGTTTGTCCCCGGCCCTGGTCGGTTGTGCGGGTGGCAGCCACTCGATGTGTTCCTTTCACATCGATGTTTCTCTCTCTCTCTCTCTCTGTTCCTCTCTCTCCCTCCCACTCTACCTGAACAAAAGAATGGGATAATGTCCTCGGGTGAGGATAAAAAATAAATAAATAAATAAAAATAAAATGGGTGGGTGGAGATGAATGGACCTCTCTCTCTACTCTATAGGTTTTGTCAGAGGAACCCAGTTGGAATCTAAGAAGAAATCAAAGAAAGTGTCCAAATAGCTGAAAACCTAAATGCTCAAGCCGACCAATGTTTCTCTTGCACATCGATATTTCTGTCTCTCTCTCCTTTCCGCTCTCTCTAAAAAACATATTTAAAAAGAAAAAAAAAGGCAAGCAGAGCCTGATTCAAACCTCAGCTTTGTTACTCAAAGGCAGTGTGATTTTTTTGAAGTTATTTCCCTGAGCCTCATTTTCCCATCATTGAAACAGGGATAATAGTCTCTACCTGGAAGGCTATCAGAAGAAGCTGAGCCACCGCACGTTAGGGCGCCCACGCAGCGCCCGGGACACTGTACGTGCTCAGTCATCACTAGTGACCATTGTTCTTTGTGTCTCCGCCATAGTTCTCAGCCCAGACTGCCTCATATTCAGGTTATCGGCTTGGTGTCCATGTCCCAGTCTAGTGTGTGAGCTCCACGAGGGCCGGGATGTGTCCATCCCCACGTCCCCTTGCAGCTTGCAGCCCAGGCCCCTTTCCACGTAGCCTCCCCGTTCCCAGCCCCGGTCTTGGCTTACCCACAGTGGTGATGGGCCGGCGGTAGGGTAAAAAACCAAAGCTGTACTGGAAGATACCACGGCCATGGAAGAGCGGGAGGGAAATGCCCATGATCTTTTGCAGCTGGTTCTGGATATAGCGCAACCAGGAGCCAGGATAGTTCCCAACTTGGTCAAATAGCTCATTCTCCCCAAAGGAGAAGACTGGCACCAGAGGTACCCTAGAGAGAGACAGAAGGGAGAAGGCATGTTGGAGGCCCCAGAGAAGGGCCTGCTGGTCACCTAGCTTCCTGCAGGGACGCAGCGACCAGGAATTGGAGCAGAGGACAGAGCCTTGGGCTGGAAGTAGGGTTGTCTCCAATACCTGCCAGAGCCTTGCTTTCTGAGCTTGGGTCCTGGCCCCTCTCAGATCCACGACCTCCCAGGTGCACCATGACAGATAGACTAGAATGCTTCAGAGTCCTCCTAGGCAGAAGTCATCTGCCACTGTAGAAAAGTCTCCCCTGCCCAGCTCAGATTCATCACAGATGCTCCAAGAGAACAGTCCTGCAGTGTGCCTCAACCTCCATTCTCCCAGATCCCACAGGTCTCGGACCTAGTGCCAGCTCTGGGCAACATGACCCTTCCCATCAGGCCCTTTGATCACCAAGTCTCCATTCTGGAACCTTTTCTGGGTATGAGACAGTGCATGTCTCACCAAAATATCATCTGCGTTGTAAATGGACTGAGAAATCTCCCTGCCAAAACATAAACTCCACTGGTCTCTGCTGTCTTCCCACCAAAATATAATCCTTGCCAATCGCCCACTGAACCGAGAGCCCTCTTCCCAGATACCCGTGTATCAGAGCAAGCTTGATGAAGCCCTTGCGGTTCTGTAGCAACAGCTTGTAGGCCCCGGGCCTGGCATTCAGTGCCTCCTGGGCACCCCCAACAATGATGCCCAGCAGGTTGCCGCCATCCTTCCTGCTCAGAATGTGAGCGGCACTCTCCTTGTCTGCTGTGACCAACCCTGGGGAGAGAGGATGTGATCAGTTACAGGGTTAAGGGGTAGGAAATATGGGGGTGGGGGTGGCCCAGCAAAGAGATCACCAAAAGTGCCCACAGAGGCCTGGGTCACCTACCCACCCACTCCAGCTGGGAGTTCCCTGAGAACTGGGACTGAGTCTTCACCCTCATTCCTAACCCTGTCACCGAGCTCATTGCCCTGCTCGGTGCTGTGGGAAGTGCTTCCTTGGGTCTAGCCTCCTTCTTCCACTGCACATGCTCTTGGAAGAAGTACAGACTATTGGTAGCCCTCTCTAAGATGCCCTCCTCCCATCCTTGCAGCCTCATTTACCTGGGCTACCCAGGTGGGGAAGACTCACCCCCACACATGATGTAATCCCTGAAGACGGGAGACCGGAACCACAGGTTCAGCATCATCAGGTGGGGGCGGATGCCAGGGAAGATCTCAGAGAAGCCCGAGCTCTCCGTGCACAGGTTAATAAAGATTCCAGCAGCCAGGACCCCGTGGGGGTGGATGCCGGCGAGGTAGTTCCGGGAGGGGTCCAGCTCGGCAGTCTTGACCAGCTGCAGGGACAGCAAGCTAGTGAGGCAGAGCTGGACCTGCATCCCCACTTTGACCCTGACACTCTCCAGTGTGACCTTGGGCAAGTCACTTCCCACCTCTGAACCTCGGGTTCTCACAAAGGTTGAGATACGGTGACACACCAGGTGCCGGCTGTGTCTCAGACTCGCAGCTGGCTTTGGACAAATTGCTTCCCTCTCAGGCTTTACATTTGTAAAATGGGGACGTTTAGCCCTGTCCCACTCACCTCCCAGGACTGCCTAGGAGTTCAGGTCTGAGGATGCCCTGCAAGTCCCCAAACTGCTAAATGATGGGAAGGCATCAAATGGCCACACGGGGGCGCCACCATGCCGGAAGAGCCCCATTTTATAAAACTCAGTGTAAGAAAACTTGGCACCTAAGACCAGGGAATGAGTATTTGCAAGACACAGCAGGAGAGGCTGCCTGTTGGGTTGCAGACCAAGATGCCAGATCTAGTCCTCTTTACCCGCCGTGTCTCACCTGTGGCTCTCTGCTCCCCACACCAGAGCTTCATTTCCCTTTGCCCTTTCCCCGGACACGGCAGTTCTGCTGACACGGCCACTTGCCTGGTCTGGTCAGGCCTGCAGCATGGAGGGTGTAGCAGGGACCACTAGACATTGTAGGTCGAGTGGGAGAGGAGAACCGCTTGTTAGGGGAAGTGGGGTGAGTGGAGGGGCAGGAACTGAGTTAAACGCTGCTGCGGCGGTTACTACTGGGTGCTGTGATGCGCCTGAGTCTGCAAAGCTGTTTGCTGTGGGTAGTGACTGCATGTGGGGGGGAGACCAATTCTTTTCTTACCCTGCCAGGAACCGCAGGGCCCACCCTTTACAATGCCCTGCCCTTTGGGAGCCACAACCATCAGAGTTTGAAGGCCCTGAGGCCCCAAGCCCCTGGCAGGAGGCTCCCTGACAGGACTGCCAGGGCCCTGTGATTTGCATTACCGGACTGGGGTGGGGGACAGCCCTTTCCTCTCTGGCTCAGCTCTGCTAGGCTGACCGTTCTTCCCTGTTCTTCCTGTCAAGAACCCCTGAGGATTCTTGTTGCTGCCGCAGGGGCCCCTGAGGCCAGGTTATCCGTCCTCACAGCAGCCTGGAGGGATCAGAGGACAGCAATGGGGATCTGAGCTGCTCTGCTTCATCCAGCTTCTCCTGTCCTTGACCTGGATGTGGTCCGCGTACCACCTCCCCCACAGTACAGTATGCCCTTCGTTTAACCACTGAACCTTTGCAAAAAGGCTGCAGGGACCATTGCCTCCCAGACAAGAGCAAAACTCTTCCACTCATGCAGTGGGGATTTACTGGCATATAATCAGAGATTTCTCACCACCCCATTGGGAAAGGTGTTTCCTCAGGAACCCATCTGGTGGTGTTTCTTTAAAGACATACCTGGCCCCGGCTGGTGTGGCTCAGTGGTTGAGCATCGACCCATGCACCAAGAGGTTGCTAGTTTGATTCCTGGTCAGGGCACATGCCCAGGTTGTGGGCCAAATTCCCAGTGGGGGGCATGCGGGAGGCAGCCATTGATGTTCTCTCTCATCAGTGTTTCTATCTCTCTCTCTCTCTAAAAGTCAATAAAGAAAAATAAAATAAAAAAAAGACATACCTGGCTTCCTGCACTTAAGCACTTGCTTATAAATTTTCTCTCAGCTAGAGGGGAAGTAGCTTTGTACAACCTCCGTAAAGGTGATTTGGCAATATGTATCACAACCAAAAATGTAGCTGATCTCTCAACCCAACACCTCCACTGCTGAGGAACTTAGCTACAGAGTTTCTCATGCGTGTGCAAAATGACATCTGAACAAGATTATTAACTGACGCGTCATGGTTTGGTAAGAGCAAAAACTTGGCATCCACCCAAATGTCCACCAATAGGGCCAATTTAGACAAATCAGGTAACATTTACACAAGGGACCACTGTGGGAGGGGAAGATGGCCACAGTCACCTGTCAGATGACACAGCAAGGGGCAAGATGATGCTTGCAGACTGTCACCAGCATGTGCTGTATGTGGACACACCAAACCCTGTGTCATAGTCACCTCTGAGTAAAGAACTGGAGAGATGGGATGTGAGGTGAGACGGGTCTTTTCACTACAGACACTTTTGTCCCTTTTGAATTTTGAACAAGAATGTATTACCTATTTTAAATAATTAATGAATGAACAAATGAAGGCATGATTATCCCCTTAATAATAAGTCTTTGTGTATAGAGCTATCCTGGTGGGTGTGAGGGCCTTTTCTAGGCAAGTGTGCCAATATTTGATCGAGCACCTACGTGTGCGTGTCCAGGTGTGTGCACGGATGGGGCCATTGCTACCCCACTGAGGCCTGGTCTGCGTCTCTCCTGCTGACTTTCTGGGCTAACCTATTCAATCTGCCCCCTGTGCCCAAGTGATATCCCACCATCACAGTGAGAGCCTTGAGATTAGAGACCACCTATCGGAGGCATCTCTGTGTCCCTGGTGCAGGCCTGAAATAGAGATGCTCCCTGAGAGACTGATAAGGAAGAAAAGAATGAATCCATGAACGGATGAGACGGATGCAGCCAAGCCCTGGCCTGATCCTGTTCTGACCTGCCACCTGGATTCCACTAAGCTGGGAGTCATGACACCCAGGTTCTGTCTCTGGTGCATCACCTGATCTTTGCCCAGCCCTTGCTCTTTCCATGGCTCAGTTGCCCCTTTGTTCCACAGGACAGTGATGATGCCTTTCTGGCAAGGTTGCTACTTGGTTCAGGGGTGATAAACATAGAGGGGGAAGGTTTGCCAAGTGCTGTGTTCTCTTCCTTGCTCCCTCAGTTCTCTTTGGGGCGGGGGGGGGGGGCTAAGCAATGCAGGATGGCGGGGGAAACCCTCTGGGTACACATCCTTGAAGGCTGGGCTTGGCACTAGGCAGTGGCAGCAGGGGAAGGGGCTGGCCAGGTTGCTAGGCTTGGGGGGTTATTTTTCTCTATTCATATAGTTCATATACCATCAATTTTACCTTTTTAAAATGTGTAACTCAGTGACTTTAATATATTTAAACGGTGTGCAACCATCACCACTATCTCAACCAGGAAGAAACCATAGCAGTGACTTCTCTTTCCCCCGGCCCCTGGCAACCACCAATCTGTTGTCTGTCTCTACGAATTTACCCCTTCTGAACACTTCATATAAATGGAATTATACAATATGTGGCCTTTTGTGTCTGTCTTCTTTCCTTCATAGGACGTTTTCAAGGTTCATCGATGTTGAGGCCTGTATCGGTATTTCATTCCTTTTCATGGCTGAATACTATTCCATTGTGTGAATAGACCATATTTTCTTTGTCTGTATAATGGCCCATTTATTGATAACGTGACCATGAACACTTGTGTACAAGCCTTTGTGCAGACATGTTTTCAGTTCTCACAAAGGTATTCCTACTTTGAATACCAAGACCTCTGCTGGTGGACCCTGCACAGGCTCCCCAGGAGAGGACAACTGGACCTTGGATGTGAGGGAGAACAGTGAGGGGCTGTGGAGCTACCATGTCTGCCCAGTCCCATCTCTGTTTTTCTATTTTTTGTTTTGGTTAATCCTCACTGGAGGATATTTTTCCATTGATTTTTTTTAGATAGAGTGGAAGGGAGAGAGGGAGAGAGAGAGAGAGAAAAAAAAACACTGATGTGAGAAAGACACATTGATTGGCTGACTTCTGCATGACCCTGACTGGGGCTGGGGATTGAATCTGCAACCCAGGTATGTACCCTTGACCGGGAATCAAAACTAAGACCCTTCAGTCTGACGCTCTAACCACTGTGCAAACCAGACAGGGCTAGACCCATCTCTTGACAGATGCCCTTGTGTTCTCTCACACCCATGGGGTGACCCAAATGGCTCCTTTATGGTCACAAAGCACCCCCCAGCACCAGTTTAACCATGGCCCTAGGGTGGCTGGCTGCAGTGTGAGAGCCCCCAATGGGCAATGGAGCAAAATGAGGGCAAATGCCCTGCCCACAGCCACACAGATGAGCCTGAGTCCCGCCGTCTCCTGCAGATAGTTCCAGAGAGAGCCCGGGCGCCTTTGCTCCAGACCCAGGGAGATAGCCTGAGGCTCAGCTCTATCTCAGGGGCCTTCTCCTTTTTGGTCAAACTTGGAAGGTCCAGGGCACTCAGGCATCCTGTCCAGGAGACAGATCCTGCATCAGCAGCCTGGCCCTGAGAACCTGTTTCTGGCCTATCGATGTACTTTGATAACTCAGCAGGTTGAAAACACAGGGCAAGCCCTGGCTGGTGTGGCTCGGGGATTGAGTATCCTCCCATGAACTGAGAGGTGTGGGTTCGATTCCCAGTCAGGGCACATGCTCAGTGTTGTGGGCTCGATCCCCAGTGGGCTGCATACAGGAGGCAGCTGATCATTGTTTCTCTCTCACATTGATGTTTCTATCTCCTTCTTCCTCTAAAAAATCAAAACATATTTAAAACAAACAAACAAAAAAACAGAGGGCAAGCAGGGTGTCATTCAGGAGCTCTGGTTCTGGCCTTGGGCATCTCATTTGTGACAAACTTCCCAGGGGATTCATATATATGAATCGCCACTCTAAATTTGTTTTTGTTTTTGTTTTTTTTATCCTCACCCGAGGACATTTTTTGTTCAGGTAGAGTGGGAGGAAGAGAGAGGAAGAGAGAGGAAGAGAGAGAGAGAGAGAGAGAGAGAGAGAGAGAGAGAGAGAAACATCGATGTGAAAGGGACACATCGAGTGGCTGCCACCCGCACGACCGACCAGGGCCGGGAACAAACTGCAACCAAGGTACGTGCCCTTAGCGGGATCCAAACCCGGGCCTCTCCGGACCGCAGGCCGACGCTCTAACCGCTGAGCCAAACCGGCCAGGGCGCCACTCTAAATTCAAAGAGTCCCCTTCCAGGTTCAGGCAGTTGGCTGTGTGTGTGTGTGTGTGTGTGTGTGTGCGTGTGTGTGCGCGTGTGTGTAGGGGACGGCATCCTTCCCTGTCTCTTCCTATCA